TGCTCCTTGGAGGACACAAAGGCGGATCAGCATGTGTTGTTTGTTCAGATCTGCTGTTTTTTTTTAAATGAGGTCATAGTTTTTCAGTTAGGTATGAAAATATGTCTAATTTCTTCCCACAAAGTATAGAGTCTTCTCTGACTCTATATTTACTCTAAAGGTAAAACTGTTTAAAATTTTGACGACATAAATAAAATTGTCTGTTTCAGAGTGTCTTTCAAAGAAAATGAATAAAAGTAAAACAATAGAATGGATGCTTGCCAATAAATGTTGTTGACATGAATGAATCAATTAATATTCGGATAACCAAAGGTTCCTTAATGAAGATTCTTTACAAAATGAAACCAGGTGAAACTGAAACTTTTCCACTTGGAGAATTATGGATTTGCATATTGACAGAAAAAAAATTTTTTTATTTTAAAGGCAAAATGTTTAAATATTTGTTTTTGTTATATTGTTGATCAAGGTGGGTTGCTCATGTCTCTAAGTTTGAGTCTCTATATTCCAGTTAACGATTAATTGATATCTAAATTAGTTGGCGTCTCTTTAAATAAACGATTATTCGCAATTAATTCTCTGGGTGCAAAATGTTTATAAATATAAACATATAAAATGATTCATTGTATCGGTTTTAATGACAAATCGGGATGTGAAAAGTTTTTCTGGAGAGTAGTCATTGGCAGTCAGCAGTGTGTTGTAGCTGAATAAGGGAAACTTTTTTGTTTTAGCTACTATTAATACATGAATCTGAAGGTTTTCCTCCTCTGGACGCATGTGGTGTCTGCATTTTGCTCAGCCTCAACAAAAGCCTGTGGTTAGTTTGCTTTATAGCCTGGTGAGTCGTGCACTGGAGAGTGAAGCATCTGGTCTTTGCTTATCTAACAGACATGTTGCGTAGCATCGGAACAGTAAGTAATCCTCGTCGCCTGACCCTCATCAGGGCAACACTGTCCAGGACAGAGGAGTTCCAGGAAACCTTTGGTTGCCCGTGTTTGTGTGACGCAACATGGAGGCTTCGGGGGGAGCGGCCACCGTGGGTTCTTGCTGTGGTTTGGTGACTGCTGATGTTAAATGAGTCTGTGAGAGCAGAGGTGTCATTAACAGTAGACGTTTCCCTGATGCTCATTGCCAGCCTGACCACAAACAGATGGTTCCTAAA